GTTGGGTCAACTTGAATTTGTTAGCTACTTTTCATACTGTTCATTGATAATTGCTGCCAAAACTGAATTATCTTAGTTCCTTGTGCAACTTTCAAGAGATAATGATATCAGCCACTGATGTAAAGATTTGCTATCAGTCTAAGTTGCTTATAAAAGCATTATAAACACTTATCTACATTAAATATCTTAATGCAATCAGAGCAGTATTTGTAATTATGTAAAAGGAATACTTTCAAATAAAAATTATAGGTGGGAGCAATTTTTGGCCAATAGAATATTTTTGGTACTATCATAATAATCATTTTTACACAATGAAAATAATTGTTATTTGTGAGGCGACTTTTATTGTTTAAATTTTACAACTATATGTTTGTTTTCAATGCAGATTGTAACTCATTTCATTGCAACTAGATCTAGATGCAGTATAATAGTGTTGTATTGGTATACCATTACTAATACTAAAAGTATTTTGGTACTGGCTCATGAAATTTGGTATATCATAACTAAAACTAATACTAAAAGTATTAAAATACCATATCTAAAACCAATACTAAAAATAGCACAAATTACTTTACTAAAATTTATAACTAATATTCATTTCTATGCAATACATTTGGTACAACAATGTTCACTGAAGGGTAAACAGATAAAATTGATATCACTAGATTATCATGTGCAAATTCATGAAGCAAATGTTATGTGTAGCTATCTTAGTTGCAAAATGGCAGTGGAAGACCAAGGAACAGTAACGTATGGGACTACTACACTTTTGATGCAGAACTAATACAATTAATTTTAATACAATTAAATCATCATTAGTCTAAGGTTAATAGTATGACTAGAGTAAGTTTTGTTAAATTATATGTACTTACTATAATCTACCAAAATTAATATTCGTTACCAATACCAATAGAGTTTTACTTTTGGTAAAATTACTAAAACTAATATCTATAAATCATGAGAATTGGTGAAAATACCATAACTAAAACCAAATCCAAAATGTGATACCAATACAACACTACAGTATAATCTATTCTATGACCAATGACTGAAGGCTTTTGATATCATCACTGAAATCTCGTACATTCAAAGTTTAAAATTATTACAGTTAAAAATAGTTATTTTTACTTTATAAAGAGTTAAACATTGCAACAAATAAAGATTGAATGGAATAGAAGAACAAGAGGACTGATCCACGGGAAGTTATGGTGTATATTCTGAATTCTTGGGAGTTGATCCGCATTCTAGGCACACGCCCGTGCACGTTCCGCGCGTTCACGTGCTTGGTTCAGCGTGCGGAACGATCCGCAGCAATCCGCACTGATCCGCATTCTAGTAACGCCCTCGGGGAAGGGAAGTGCTAAGGGCGCGCGAAGCGCGGCGCGATTTT